CTGAGGTCCGCATGCGTGACCTCGACGACACCTTAGAAGTCGAGGAGGTGAGGGGGTGGGTGGCAGAGGCCGTGCATTGTGGCGTCTCCGACATACAGTGCGGAGCGCTGCAACCGGCCGCCGGAGGCAAGCACGGCCTCTGGCTGCGCCTGCCCCTCACCGCGGCGAAAGAGCTGGCCCAAAAAAGGAAGATCCGGGTCGGTTGGGGGATGGCCCGCGTGGACCTTCTCGAGGTGCGCCCTATGCGGTGCCATAAGTGCCTCGAGAGGGGACACATGAGGGCGACCTGCCCTAGCGCAGTGGACAGAAGCGGGAGGTGTTACCGGTGTTCGGAAACCGGCCACACCTCCCGCGACTGCCGGTCTGCCCTGAAGTGCCCGTTGTGCACTGACAAGGGCAGGCCGGCAACGCACGTCTGGGCGCGAAAGTGTGCGCCCAGAAGAACGTGCGGGGGAGACAACCGGGGCAGTGCGCCATGGAGCAGGCGTCTGCTACCGGTGCTCCCTCACCGGCTGAAGCGCGGCCGGCGGAGGAGAGGAGGGAGGAAGCGTGCGGCTCGACGCAGGAGGAGCCCCAATCACAGCGCCAACCTCGCGGAAAGGCGCCAGGAAAGAAGGCCTCACCTCCACCAGAGGCCATGGAGGTTGAGGCCCTATCGGACGGGGGGGATAATGAGGCTAAGTAATGTCCCGCCCTCCCCCTCGTCCAAATCTGAGAGGACTTGGCCTACTGCAGGCCAACGTGAACCACTCTCCACACGCACAAGATCTGCTCCAACAAAGCATGATGGAGAGGGGGTTCACATTGGCGATCGTCTCCGAGCCTCATCGCGCCCCGGAAAACAGCCCATACTGGGCTGTCGGGCGGGAGAGGGACTCGGTGGCGATCCGATGGCGGTCGGAGCCCGGAGGGCCCCATACGACCGTCATCGAGAGAGGCGATCGGCATGTCGCTGTGCAATGGGGACGCATCGCGGTCGTTGGGACCTATTTAAGGCCCACCAGACGCCTCCTCCCCTTTGAGGGCTGGCTTTCGGACATTGGGCAGACGCTCATACGCCTGAGTCCGAGGCCGGTCCTCGTGGCCGGGGACTTCAATGCGTGGCATACGAATTGGGGTTCCCGGCGCACGAACGGGAGGGGCAAGGCGCTGGCGAGATGGGCGGCGATGCACGGACTGGTCCTCGTGAACGAGGGCCGGACCCCCACCTGTGTGCGGACACAGGGGGAGTCCATTGTGGATATCACATGGGCTACCCCCTCGGCCATGCGCTTGATCACCAGGTGGAGGGTGGAGGAGGGCATCGAAACTCTGTCGGACCACCGATATACATATATCGGTGGAGTTCGGTGCCCTCTCCTCCGTGCGTCGCCAAGAGACACGACCGCGATGGGCCCTGCGGAAACTCCGCGAGGACGCCCTGATGGCCTCGATAGAGGCCGCCTGTTGGGTCCGGGGAAGTTTCCCCGAGACCCGGGAGACGGACCCCCTGCAAGAGGCCGAGTGGATCGGGGCAACGCTTACAGCGGCATGTAATGCCGCGATGCACCGGTCCAAGACTCGGCCTCAGCGGGCCGTCTACTGGTGGACGGCAGAGATCGCAGATTTGCGACGACAAGCCGTCCACCAGCAGAGGAGACTCGCCCGCTGCAGGCGCAGAGGCGAGCAGGCGGCCGAACGAGCTAGAGAGGGCTACTTTGAGGCCAAAGTGGCCCTCAGGAAGGCCATCAGGGTGGCAAAGGGCAGGGCGTGGACGGAGTTCCTCGACTCCCTTCAGGAGGATCCGTGGGGGCGTCCATATAAAATGGTACTCAACAAGTTGAGACCATGGGCGCCCCCGCTGACGGAGCGGCTGGACGGGGGTTTCGTCCGGTGGGTAGTACAGGCCCTCTTCCCCGATATTACCGGGGAGGACGGGGGCCCACCCTTCGAGCCGGGGGAAGACTCCCCCGACTGGGACGATTCCCTGGACGTCCAGCCGGAGGAACTCCGGAGAGCCGTCGCTAAGGGTCTCAAGGGCAACACAGCCCCGGGCCCTGACGGCCTCCACAAGA